ACATCAAACAACAATATTTTATTTAAATAGATAATGTTAAATCCTTCAGGGTAACAATTAATAAATATAGATATTAAATTCTTAATAAATTCTGAAACTTTTGGACAATTAGGAAATAAATGCTGCACTCGCTAACCATTCGGGAAAACAGATCATTTGAAGAGCTCCTACGACAGTTCAGGTGTAACTGTAAAACTGGGTGTCACTGTGGCACTGACTCGGTGAACTTGTAAAAACCATCGACAGGACTACAATGATATACTTGTGGTGAGTGTAAAGGATATCATAGCTGTAGCAACTCCGACATGAGTTTTTTTTTAGACAACTCTGGTGAGGAAGCTTTGATAACTTGTTTGTTTCCATCAGGGCTATGTGACCCCCCCCCCCCCCCAACACACACACACACCATCACACACACACCGACACACACACACTCCCCCGTGACAACAGTGCATTGTTGTGCAAATGCAATCAGTCAAATGTTGTCCATAATGAGGCAGACATACTTTTATTATATTCCTTGACCATGATGAAATGGGTGTGGCAACTTGACCATAATAAAATGAGTTGGCAACCTGACCATGATAAAATGGGTGTGGCAACTTGTTATTTCAGGTTATTGCAAATGTATTTTTGAGTTTGGAGTAAAAGTAACTATTTCAGTAATAACCGAGGCGTCTAAATTCCATATTCTATATAATGTAATATAACTGTGCCGTTCTCCTACTGTTTTTCAGCAGCCTTGACCCTGAAATTATTGGCTTAGGTACTAGTTGTATGGTCGAACCACATGTAAGGCAAAGACTTTCAGATTTAATAGGGAAAAATAAGTTTTCCACTGATGGCGGCTGTTAATTTGCATATACATGAAATGCATTATGTAATAAAGTGATTATATTCTAAATGTGTTTATTTGCTTCCCTGGCCACGAAAACATGGGTTTAGACACAAGTTCCACCAAATTGAACATTTGATGTCCAAGTTATAGAATAAAGACAATATGTTAATCATGACATTATGCTAATTAGCATATTACGTAATTTGAACATTTGATTGCCAAGTTATAACATAAAACATGACATTATGCTAATTAGCATATTACGTAATTTTACCCCTTTCCACCATTCTGGAACTACTCTGAAATACATCGCAGTGAAATTAATTCTGGTCTAACACCAGATTGACTGGACTATGATAGACCGAAAACCTACATCCCTTTGTTCCCCGTACAGTACTGAGCACCCCACCCTTTCACTATGTTTCCCGTCCAGTACTGAGACGCTGCCCCAGACGCTGCCCCCCTCCCCCAATCAAGGGATCAATAACAGAAGTAGTAGTCAATAGTTAAGTGTGTTTATACGATGCTTGTGATTTGTGCCAGATAATCCCGTGACCTACCGTCATAACGAATAGTTGGTAGATTCCCAACAATCGTTCACAGGGAATGATAGACATCGGACGGACTGGAGTGACGACAATATACAACCACATTTCAATGATGGTCTATAATAATTAGAAGGACATAGTTTTAATCAGGATAAAAGTAGTCTGATTATTTACGTCTTGTAATGTCAGTTATTTTAATAATTTCAATGATGGTGTATAAAAATTAGAAGGAACATTGACCATAAGTTATTAGTTTTAATCAGAATAAAAGAAACCTAATTATTTACGTCTTGTAATGTCAGTTATTTTATTAATTGTTACTTGAATTGTAAAGTTTCTATGATGATCAATAAATCCCATGACAGGATTACTGAATCTCTTCCAGTCAATAAGATTAGTAACACAGGTAGAACTACCAGGTTTAACAGTCCCATTACATTCTTTAACTACAGATTGTCTATCATCTGTTTTATTTATAACTTTATATGTGACGTCAACATTACATGACGTAATACTTTTATCTTCTACGTCATTCAGGATTAATACAAGTAGTTTAACACATTGATACGCCATGTAAAACCTGAAACTACGTGTTGTTTACCATTATACCAATCTTTATAACCTGACACAGTATCCACATTAAAAACATCTTCAATCATATTCTGATGACAACTTACAATTTTACCAAGTTGATTAGTTAACAAAGTTTTATCTATCTCTACTACTTCAAATGTTGAATATCTTACATCAGGTATATCCAATTTTCTACAACAACTTTCATCTTTCTCCTGTCTAACTTTAGGTAATCTTTGTAAAACTTGAACAACAGACGAATCTTCTAAAACATTCACTGAATATTTAACACTAGCTTTTAAATCTTCGGTTAGTCTTTTAATGTCCTCCATTAATTTCCCCAATTTGGATTCTCCTTGTTCACTAGTTTTATATATTTCCTTTTTAACATTTTCTCCAATTTTACGAAATTCGGAGCAGATTTTATCCACCTGTGCATCTACTTTGTCACATTCTGTTTTTGTGCAGTTTTTTACTTCAATCAATTTACTATTTAAATTATCATAATGTTTCTGAAAATTGGTAATTTGTTTTTCTAAATCATCATTCAGAGTTTTTAGGTCTTGTCTGATATTTTGTCTGACTTCATCCTTCTGTAAATCTAACAAATTATGTCCTTGTCAGGCTCTCTGTCCTGCATCACTGACAAGGGAGAACCATGCCAGAAAATCTGGATGAACTTTCTCAACCAATGCAGGGATAGCAGGTCCTATACATACAATAATGTAATGAATAGCTGACATTGACAATTATTATGGTAGCAAGATTATCTTGTCAAAACTTCAAACACTCATAACTTAGAATAAATCAAGTTGACTGAAATCTACTATATTCTTTTTTCATTATCTAATTTTTAATTATTATTGCAAAAACTACCAGATCAAGGTAGTTATTAGAATATGTCTTGTCTAGCCAATCAGGAGCTGTTATGTCTTGTCTAGCCAATCAGGAGCTGTTATGTCTTGTCCAGCCAATCAAGGGCTGTTATGTCTTGTTTAGCCAATCAGGAGCTGGTATGTCTTGTCTAGCCAATCGAGAGCTGTTATGTCTTGAGCAAAAATGTAATTAACCAATAACATTGACATTTAAAAGTCAGGTTTCAAACAGATTGGGAAATGGATACGGAAGTAGTCCAAATTGGAACAAAAATAAAAATGTAATTTGAATAAGATTAGAAAATGTTAGAATGCTTTGGCAACTGTTACTGAATCTGTAGAAAATGGAGGGGCCACCATAAATACATAAATACGATACACCATAAATAAGATTTGATGAATCGAGTTACGTAATTCATTCTATGAATTTCATTCTTCATTTGTTCAAGTGACGTGATACTCGTGACTATCACTTACCACTACAAATTCGCTTAAACTATAGACAAGATTAACCAGGCACTTTAACAGCCAGGAATTCAGGGACTTATGAAAGTTTGTATTTCTTCGAAAGGATGCCACAAAAATTCAAAGAGATTTTCACCCCAAATTAACCACTTTTATTCACTTAAATATATCTGGAACTGCTCCTTCAAATGAGTGATGAATAATGTGAAATATTTACATGTGAATACATCAAGTCCTAAAAATGTTTGTACAAATAGAGCACCCTGTCCATAAATAAATAGACATCTCCCACCATGTTGAACACACCTCAGTCATAAAATCATCAGGTTTAGTTTACTTTTATACATAGGACTAGTCCATTGATTTAATATATTAAATACAGGATCAGGACCAGAATAAAATACTCAGTGCCATGGAAATACAACAAACAGCTACATATGGACTTTTTCTTTCACCTGAAAAACACAGTAAAATATCTTGAATATGTAATATAAACACAGTAAAATATCTTTATTATGTAAAATAATTTAATACCGGAAATGAAAATGGGGTTTAACATCTGTCTAGGTTAATGTATATATACGCCATTCAGTACGCCATGGAAGGAAATTTGCCCTGAGAGCTGCCTTTGTGTCTACTCTTCATCAAATTCTAACTTTCAAGGGTTCTTTAACATGCACAACTGGTCTTCAGGGTTTTCACACCATCCAAACAACTAGATGTTGTTTTCTTGTGTCGTCCACAAGTTCTTCCTAGTATTAATGATTATTATACAAAGTGCAAATCAAGAGTCACTTAATTAATAGAGCATCCATAAGATTTCTTAAAGTGATCAGACTCTACAGTAAAGAGAGGTTTTAAAGTCCACTCGACACAAACTAGGTCATTTCGGGACTAACATATGGTTCAATTTTATTTCAATAATTTGCTTGCACATAGAGGCTTTGAGCTGTTGAAGGAAACCGGTAACAACCCAAAAGGATGAACAGACGTCCTTACTCCTTGTCACATACATGTACAAGTGTGGGCCTATAAACTCTGTTTTGGCATATTTTACGAGGTTAAACTAAAACATCACACCAACATATTGGGATATGTACAGGTTTTATGCAGATAGAATCTTAACTAATCCTAACTCTTGTAAAAAGTCTAACACTTTACCATATAAACCCGGTTGGGCAAACTTGTAATGTAATAACTGACAAAGGTAAAATTCGATCTAATATCCTAATAATTGTTGTAAATAAATAGGGCCTACTATGTAAAAAAACAATGGGGAGGGGGGGCGGATAAGAACTTGACACATTAGCAGACCTTATCACATTTAAACACTGTGGACGATGGATGGGTTGAGGGTGACAGCAATAGAGAGAGAGAGAGAGAGAGAGGGAGGGATGTAGACCATGGATGGGTTGAGGGTGACAGCAATAGAGAGAGATAGAGAGAGAGAGGGAGGGATGTAGACCATGGATGGGTTGAGGGTGACAGCAATAGAGAGAGAGAGAGAGAGAGAGAGAGAGAGGGAGGGATGTAGACCATGGATGGGTTGAGGGTGACAGCAATAGAGAGAGAGAGAGAGAGAGAGAGAGAGAGAGAGAGATGTAGACCATGGATGGGTTGAGGATGACCTGAGAAAATAGACATATGGACGTGTTGATCAGGGTGATGACAATGGACATGTAGATTTCAATATAGAGACTTACCTATTCTTGCAAATTTCCAAAATATTCCTAGGAAGCTGAAATAAGAATTAGATGATGCCTACAATGATTTTAAAGCATTCATGTAAAAATTACAGTAAACACTTATAAACAAACAAAAAAAATATTATTAAATTTGCAAGAGAGAGAAATGGTGTTTAAGGTCCACTCACATAAACTAGGTCATTTCGGGACCAACATATAGTTCAATTTTATTTCAATAATTCGCTTGCGCATAGGGGTCTTTAGCAGTGGAAGGAAACCGGAGGACCCGTAGAAAACCCACAAGGTTGGACAGGCGACCCTACTCCTTGTACAACACCGAAGAATCGAAAACATTCGGCCATCCAACTCGCCTATAAACATTGCAAAGTTACCGAGGAAATGGGGTCTTATTGTTCCACTCCTAATGGGTTAATAAAAACAGCCAGGTATATGATATACTGTGTGCCATGAGGACAATTTTGCTGGGACAGCGGCACTACGGCCTACTCTTATTTCGATTTTCCAACTGTCAAGGGTTCTTTTTTTTACATGCACGCCAGTGTGTACATGGGATCTCGGTTTCTCATCCCTTACATGCACGCCAGTGTGTACATGAAACCTCTGAGGTCCCATCCGAACAACTATACGTTGCCCACTGTCTTACATCACTGACAATAGATCTATTGAGAGTACTCACCCTGTTTTATTTCTATCAATGATACTAGGTATAATAGATCTCAGGTAAGTACAGGTACATATCAATAATAATAAAACCGTTAATAAACTCTGGAAATTAAACAAGGCCGACTGAAAAAAAAAGAAAAGATTTACTGATTAGTAGAATATTTTGAGTCACTTGTATACAAATACTTTATTAAGGTACACCTGTTAGTGACACCTGTAACGGATACCTGTCAGGTATATATATAATAACATATAAAAACTTGTGACAATGTCTGTGACAGGTGTGCTGTATGTCCAGGTATTGTTATAATCATGCAATGTGCCATGTGTTAAATTGTTCCAGGACAGCGGTGCTATGATTTGTATCTGTCAAATTTCAAATGATCTTTATGTGCTACCATATTGTTCCATCTGAACGACTCTATGGTTGTTCTTACCAAACATTTTTATCCTGCAACACAAGCTGGGGATCTTTCACCAGTAACAACTAAATAAACATTAGTAGACTAAACTTTTGGTATGTGTAGGATATAAACAGCATGGGGATATACTCTGCTAGGGGATATACGATATATACTGCTGGGAGATAAACGATACGTAGGGTATATACGATATACACAGCTAGGGGATATACGATATGTAGGGTATATACGATATACACTGCTAGGGGATATACACTGCTAGGGTATATACGATATACACTGCTATACGATATACACTGCTAGGGTATATACGATATACACTGCTGGGAGATAAAAGATACGTAGGGTATATACGATATACACTGCTAGGGGATATACGATATGTAGAAATGGTAAGTAGACCAACATATCATCCAGAGAGGGGTGGGGTGGGCAAGCTCTGGTGGTCAAGCGACCCTACTCCTTGTCACATTCAAGCGGGGATTCGAAACCACACAAATTGACTCAATAACCTCGTTTACATTACAAATTTTAAGCGTGCCAGGCACGGTAATTTTTTGTAGTGTAAACGGGTCAAACCTAAGCGTGCTGTACAATCTGGCCCACTGAAGTGAGGTGGTCTCGGCACGGTGCCAGGCACGGCACGGTTAAATTTTCGTAGTGTAAACGCTATCCAGTATGAGCATGGTTTCAGTACGGATTACTGCGCATGCGCCAAACGAACCTTGACCTTTATTCCTGCAAAACTTGACAGTTCTGTCTAAATAGCTGCTCAAACTAAATAAATCGCCATAATTGTTTTCTTCTGGGTAATTTGCATAGGGACTGAAATTAACTTTTCTGTGAAGAGTTCCACATTTGGCGTGCCTGGCACGGCTCTGAGATTGGTTATTTTAGAGTAATGTAAACAGGTCAATTTCTTGAAATTTATCACGGCCCGGTACTGTGACGAGAACGGCGCGCTTATCGCAAGGTTATCGGGGCCAAGTGTAAACAGGGTTAATGACAGAGATTACACGCACTCTTTAAAACACTAGCCCGCCCCCCAATCGTTTTGGTTTTTACTGTAATTTCTAATCAGTCACAGTATGTTCGGCGAAATACTTGAAGAGTCAAAACTGAATGGCAGTGCATCTTTTTACCTTGGGTTATTCCAGTCTACACAGGTAGTATTCTCATGTAGGATATATTTAACCTCGTGGATCACGTCGATTCATTACAAATGGCGTTCGAAAGCATTCTGGCAATTGATTCGTGTGTCAATTTTTTAAAATTTTCATTTTGTCTTAAATATTGGATATCAGAAGCCCATATTTTCACGGTAAGATAACAACATCAATGCTGATTTAAATTGACAGGAAGTCATGTTTGCAATGTCGAAGACTGTGGATGATACTGAGTTAGAGGCTTACCATCTTTAACCAGAGGTGATTTCTAACACAGGCAAGTTTTTAATATTATAAGTAGTTTGTTTACAATCGAAGAATTTGTTTATAATTTATAACAGTTCTTATCAGACACCACATTTTATATCTTTTTAGTCTATAAAAACATTTTAGTCCATAAAACCACAACAACGTCAATTGCTGCAGTAATGAAAAGACAAATCTAATGCAGCTGGCTGATAGTCTTACTTTCAATTTATCATTTTCATGATTAGTCGGTTAAGTGAACCAAGTCGGATCAACTTATTTCGCCCATGTTTTTCCGCCAATTAATTTTGTGTGCTCTATCAATCGGGCGTTTTGTGTCATTGTTAAATCGTAAAAATGCTCATTGAATATTTAATTGACAAATTTACTAACCATTTTCTTCAGACCATGAGAAAGTTCAACGCGTTGATTTTTCCGAAAGCTAATAAAATCTATTTTGAGTGGATCATCTATTTATATCGTCCAATAGAATCAAATTTTGCAGGATGGAAGAGACGCGATCTTTGAGTCATTTATTTCACAGCCATTTACTTAGGCTTCCTTAACCAGTATTAAATTTAACCTAAATCAAAAATTTATCAACTAATCTGCTACGGAATGATATCAGAAATATTATACCTTTTAAAAATTATTTCACTGAAACAAATGTCAGAATAAAAAAAAATTTGTATTGCTAAAAAGTTTGCAAATTTTTATTTTCAATAGACTGCAAGCTGGCAGATGTATACTTTTATATTTCGTTTCGTTTAATTCCACCAATCTGACGTTTTGTTACAATATGGCTGTCAAAAGTGGAGTAAATTTGTTAATAAACAACAAACTTTACAAATATAGTAAAAAAATTAAATTACAGAGGCTAACGGGTTATTTTTTTTATAGATTGACTTTTTATATGTGTCAATAATATATTCTTTAAATACCATTTTGATACCCGCCTCATTGATGTGGATGCCGGAAGATCCACATAAAGTATAGGCTATAATATATATAGGCCTAACAGTAACAGGCATTGCCTGAAGTAGAGCGAATCTGATGATGTGTTTAAGGTCATGAGACGAAATATCCTATTGATTTTCAGCGATTTCGGATAATTTTTGAAAGAGTTATGGCCCTTGATCACTTTGAAAAATCTTGTGGACGCTCTAGAGGCTAAAGTTAATATCCGATTGACTTTAAATTTATACACAGTCATGTTTAAGGGCATGAGACAAATCTAAGCTTATTGATTTTTAGCAATTTCTAATAATTATGGCCAGAGTTATGGCCCTTGATCACATTGAAAATTCTTGTGGACGCTCTAGAGGTTAAAGTTAATATCTGATTGACTTTAAATTTATACACAGTGTTTAAGGTCATGAGATGAAGCAGCCTATTGATTTTCAGCGATTTCTGATAATTACTGCCAAAGTTATGGCCCTTGATCACTTTGAAAAATCTTGTGGACGCTCTAAAGGCTAAAGTTAATATCCGATTGACTTTAAATTTATGCACAGTGTTCAAGGCCATGGGATGAAGAATCATATTGATTTTCAACGATTTCTTAAAATTACTGCCAAAGTTATGGCTCGTGATCACTTTGAAAAATCTTGTGACACTCCAGAGGCTGAAGTTATCATCCGATTGACTTCAGATTGATACACAGAGTTTAAAAGGTCTTGAGATGAACAAGTATATTGATTTTTTAATGAATCTTTATGACTTGAACAACTAAATCCATGATGTTAAAAGTTTTGGATACAAAACATTAGCATGGGGCAGAACTTTATAAAAACCAAACAAATTCTAATGGTTTTCTTATAATTACTTAATGAGTTGTTACTGTTAATCAGATTTTAATGTACATTATAGATGTTTCATTACCGAAAAGAGTAAAAATATGCGACAACTCTTGTTGACTGCCCTGACGATATAGCGGCTGTGTGCGTAGTTTCGTTGCGTGGCAACCTATCTTGCGAATTGATTTTAATTTAGATCTAAATTGTATGATTAATTAATTTTGTTTTAAAAAAAAAGAACAAAACAGTGTAACTGTGAGAATTATTTTCATTGATGTCAAAAATATGTGACGTCATTGATTAGACGTGTCATAGAAATATTTCTATAAGATGCGTAATCTTGTTTGGGTGAGATTTGGTAAATTTACATGCTCGTTACCAGTTTTGCCCAGTCCGGTTCCGGTCTGAATTTTTTTTTAACCGACAGTCTGTGGGTGACAGTTTTAGTTACGCTCCAGTGTTACTGGAAAAGAGATTTGCTCAAGCACTGGGCTGTGGAACTTCGCTCTTTATCAATGTCAGTATCAAAGTACAGCCACAAACAAACTGGCATTTATATTCCCAGGGTACGATCCTACCCACAACCCAGCTTTTGATATTCTCCAGTCAGATTTGGAGTCAGATCAACTGGAAACAACCATTTAACTAAATGGCCTGAGTCAGTGAGTGTAGAATGACGTTGGTTGTTGTCAAATATAAAACCTCCACAATAAACCCTTTTGTGAACCAAAAATATTAATCAATTTCATTCCATGTGGATATCAGAATTGTTCTTTAAGTTAAATTTTATATGAGTATTAGGTTAATTTTGTTAAATATCAAAAAGTGTGAAAATTAATTAGCTACGTAATTTCGTTTGGGTGAAATTTGGTAGAAAGGAGGAGATAACTCTTACCATGTTAACAGGAGGCAGACCACCATTAATTTCCCCATTGACTTCAATGTTAATTCTGGCCTCTTTGCCCACCTCCAACTTTTCCCCAAATTTTCGTTGTGCTGAATGCTTTTCACTACAGACAGAGGAACAAATGGTCATGTCTTTGCACTAAAATTTGTATGAGGTTGACCACCAAAATTTTGAGATACACAAACTTGAAGAAGCATACTAAAAACATGTAACTAGTTGCCGTACATATCGCCGTAGCTAACCTGATAACCCTCTTATCCTTCCGCCTCAAAATCATGAATATTTACCAAAACCTGGCAGAAAATGTTAATTCAAACCCTCTTCGTCCATTCTAGACCAAAAAATCAACACAAATGGGCATGCAAAAGGGGAGAAAAGAGAGAGAGAGAGAATTGCTATAAATAGACGAACTACAATTCGTGGGTACCGAGATGATGAAATTTAATGGTGGTCTGCCTCCTATATGGTTTTATAAGTTCATATATCATCAAAATTCTTTTCTTTATAGCTTCACATTTATTTTTGCAAAATTATTATAATACAGAATCAGAAAAAAATAATTACTGCAGAAATGGTGAC